AAGAGAAAGAACAAGAAACTGGGCCTTCTTGGCGGTGGCCCCTCACCTTTGGAACAGACTGCCCCCGGAGATCTGTCTGGCTCCCACGCTGGGTGTTTTTAAGAGCAAACTTAAGACCTGGTTCTTTAGGCAGGCTTTGCCTCCTGTCATCACTTGAATATTTTTATTTTTTCCCCATTTTGAACTATATTATTATTGCTGTTTTTTATTTTACTATATTGTTTTTATTGCACTTTTTATTATTAGCCACCCAGAGTAGACTTCGATCTAGATGGCCGGGGTATAAATTTAATAATTAAATAAATAAAAATATAGAGTTACATGGTAATTGTGGCAACATGGCTGAACATGTGACATAGAGTTGCTTACCTTCACAAGATCTCCCATCCGGCGAAAGTTTGAAACCCATTGTACAGCTACAGTAATAAGAACCAGGAGTATTTTCACACTTGTGAGCACACAGGCGACCAGGATATCGTCGGCATTCATTAATGTCTAGGCAGACAAATTCAGCACTATGAAGATTTTTGCTCAGGTTTATAGAGAAGTAAAAACTCTATAGCATTTGAGTTGTACATACAAAACAATTCATTTATTTACACTGTGAACTAATATGAACAGCAACAGAAATCAAATGATTAAATAAACATTTCGTGCAAGACAAGCTGTAAATGAATTGTTATGGCCTAAACGAAAACAAAATGCCATCGTTTCCTCTCTTTCTAATCTAAAGGACTAAAATGAGGACCAAAGAAATGGCACAAGATTATTTTAATGACTTGGATCCAACTGATGTCACTTACCAGTGCAAGATCTACTGATTCCATCGAAATAGTAGCCAGCTCCACAATCACAACGGTAACTCCCTGGTGTATTGATACAAGTATGACCTTCTCCACAGGGCTGGTTGGGTGGCTGACACTCATCAACATCTTGGAGAAGAAAAGGGTTTTAAAAGATAGGCAAAAATAGCTGACTATTATTCTGTTCAACAATACAAATCAGGTTCTTATTTAAAGAGCATGAACACTGGCTCGTTTAGCAGGAACTTCGGAGGGGGGCATCATGAATTTCCCAATTCACATATAAAACAAACATAGATATACCACACCAAGAGCAATCTGATGGTTATGGGTAGATACAAGAGACAGGGTTTTATTAGTGGTGTCCACCAGTTTATGAATTCTTTACCTAGAAATGTTTTCTTAATCATTTATCACAATTTTAAGGCAATCTATAAGAACAAGTTGTTGTGGGTTTTTCAGGCTCTTTGGCTCTTTTTTTTTTTTGGCCAAAGAGCCCGAAAAACCCATAACAACCATCACATCCCGGCTGTGAAAGCCTTTGAGAATGTATAAGAACAAGGTTTCTTTGGAAGTCTTAGCATTTTGGAATGTTAGGTATATGCTAGATCACTTTTATTTTTAAGCTGTTCTTTACCTATCTGCTTTTAGTAACTGTAGTTGGAACTTCTACTGTTCTACTGTTTTAATATTCCTTCATGAATGAATTTCTGTGTTATGTTTTGGCCCTAACAATGGCCCTCTATACAGTTTATAAAGCAGTTTGTAGAAATGAAACATTTTTAAAGGAACAGAATTAAAACAGAGTTTTAAAGTTTTAAGGAAAGAAGAGAATAAAGAGGAAAGCTTCAATTCTCCAGTTACAAATTTTTAAAAACTAGGAACAAGATGGTTTTCATCGTCTACTTATAAGCCATCAGAGACAGGGAAAAATCAACTGTGCCTTGAGTTAGGAATCCAGAACTGAGGTTCTCTCCTAGCTAGAAGCCTCCCAAACAGATGGAACATCAAACACTTTCTGTGGATTATGCTATTTATTCTCTTTGAGCCCTTCCAGGTTAGAGCTTGGAATTTTTTAATTTAATTTAATTTAATTTTACTTTTCCAAGATTTTGCTCCAGGCCACATCATTATAGATAGGGCCAGGGAAAAGCTCTTGTTAGCCAATTGGATTGTCAGGAGACTTACAAAATACATATGCCCAAGATTTAACTAAGTCACGTCTGGGATTTTCTTGCAGCTTGATCACAAAAGCTCTGATAGTTTCAGTTCAGGGCCTTAATAGCACTGGACACCAGGTGAGTGCGGGGGGAGGAAAGACCATTTGGAAGCCCCCCAGAGACATCCACAGGGCCTAGTGTTTAGAGTGCTGGACAAGGTTTAGGGAGACCAATGTTCTAATTCCAACCCAGTGGTAAACATGGACTGGCCACTCTGGACCTAACCCTACTCCACAAGGTTGTTAAGGAGATAAAAGGGGTGCAGAGAAGCTTCACACATTGCCTTGATTTTACAAGATAAAATGTATGAAATGAATTTAATAATTAAGAGATAAACACATCTAGCAGATATAGGCTGCTGGAGTGGGTGGACTTTTGACACTGACCTACACATCTTGTCCCTTCTTCGTTAAGGTGGTAGCCTCGTCCACAGTTTGGCACGTTTCTGTGACATGTATAAGAGCCATCTGTGTTAATGCATGTCTGCCCAGCAGGACAAGGAGAGTTAGCACTGAGGCATTCATTAATATCTGTAACAGAACACACTTTCTATTAAAATGAAAACTCAAATCAGTGTGCAGAATTTACAGTAAGAAATCTTAACTGACAAAGAGGGCAACTGGTCTCAAGGCTCAAAGCACCCTCAATGCAATGAAAATGGGCTTACCAATGCAGTTGCCTAAGGCATCTTGTATGAAGCCGTTCTTGCACTGTTGCTTGGGTCGACAACGGAAGGATCCTGGAGTATTCTGGCAGATAAAATCTGGGAGGCAGTTATGAATTCCAGTCTCACACTCGTCAATATCTAGCATGTCATGAGAGAGGATGAGGAAGAGAAAGAGAGAGATCGAAAGAGAAAGAGAGAAACACAGCATTAGTTAGCAGATTTTGCACACCCATCTTGCCGTTCTTCATACACATTCAATGCTAAGGTAGGTCAGATGAACCCTTTCCAATATTACATTAAAGGCCTGGGGTAGAACCCAATGTTATAGCAATAAACATCCTCTTATTTGCTAAAGTAAAAGGAATGCTGGGTGGACGGGCAGGCAGGTGAGTGGACTTGTAGAAACACATTGCTGTGATTTCCCTAATTCTACCTAGAACATATTCCCCATGGCCATTTTTCCTCAAAGTCGGCTCCTTCTGGCTTCAGAAGAACTCAGTTGCAGAATGCATCTGCAACAGAGAACTGCAAAGTATTGGTGCAATAAAGATGTTGTCTATGGGAGATACACGGTGGCAAACACTCATGCATACCTGGCAAGCACATTTTCTGCTTTAGGTGTGACCTGAGCGTAACACAGTGAAACTGAATAGTACAAGATGCATTATGCTTTGGGAATGTACCCTACAGCAAGTATCTGTCTTTCTAGTGAAGATTTTGAAGCATACCTTTGCAAAGATTGCTCTCAGTTAATTCATAACCTGTTCCACAACTGGTTTCACGCTGACAGCGGAAGGATCCTAAGGTATTGATACAAATTTGTCCGATGCCACAAGTGTTGGCGGAAGTGATGCACTCATTAACATCTGGAAACAATCCAAGTGAAAAGGACTGAAACTGCACATTCATCATAACCAGGAAGACAAAAGTATCTACGTGGTTGCAAGAAACAACCAGGAGGTATGGCTAGGTTCTCACAGTAGAAAAAAAAATAGTTTTAATGTTTTATTTATATGGAGAAAGCCTCTTGCCAATCTTGTGGGAAAGCTCTTTAGAAAGAACTATGTTCCAAATGCTGCAATACATTCTCAGCCCAACTTCCCTCAAGCAGAGGCATCATCATTCTGCCAATAACGTCCTGCCAACTGCTCCACGGTACTAGCTGCCATTTGTAGGTGCAGGAAAACATGCAGAGCAATGATTTCTCTCGGGCCTTAAAAGCTAAGAAAGCACAACAGGAACTAGCCTTAAGTTACATTTATGTAAAATATTGGTCTCTTAACTTTTTTTCTTTGTCTTTTTGTGGATATGTAATTTACTTCCATTCAGAAGAAGAACTTTTACCTCATTTGTCAACTGAAAAATTCTCAGTAAATATAACTGAACCTAATATTTCAACAGTCAGCTACAATCTTCCTCCCTGACCTCAAACATGCATACACCGGCCTCCTAATAACAGCCTGATGCTATCCGTGCACAGTTAAATGGTTCTAAATCCACTAACATCCGTGATTTTTGGTGCAAGAATATGCTTTACACTTGGCATAGAAGATCTATGTAGAAGATCTCTTCACACAAACAAGGTTTTGGGAAAAGCTCAAGATTAAGGCTGTAAAAAAAAGAGACCATCTTAGCCCCTCCTGCACACACCAAGATGGTTAATTTTGAAAGAAACAACGCTGCACTGCAGAGCATATCTTGTGAGTGTCCTCACAAGTGGTTCCGCCTCTGGCGTCAAGGGAAAGGGTTCCTAACATGCTAGTTTTATACTTGTAGCCATGTTGCTGTTTTCCATGAAGAAGCATTTAGTCATGTCAGTGCACACCTGCAGATTGCAATGGAGTCACAGGTTTACTGCATCACTAAGTACTAGGCCTTAACCTTGTACTATGCACCACAGATGAGGAAAGAGGAAGTGGTGGTGGTTATTTTGGTTTACGACAAGCCAGAATTTGCAAGTCAGCATACTGGCTGGTGGTTCTGGGACTTGTAAACCAAAGAAGTAAAATTTTCCAAGGATACTTGTGTGGAAGATGAGATGGGGGGTTGTTTGTTTGTTTTTGAGGTTTAGTGTTTCTCAGTGCTGCTGTTTGGGATGTGATATATACTGTATTTCATTACTTTAAGTTGTACATCAATTCAGTTCAATTGCAAACTGCCCTGTGGAATAGTTTGTTCCTTTAAACAAATGTGCATAATGAAGGAGAAAGGGTTAAGGGAAACCTTAAAACTGAATACATCCCAGGACCTTTTGCTAAAAGTAGCAAACTGTTCAGCAGAACGACAGTTTTAAAAAGTAATGGAAGAAAGAGGAGACAGAAGGAAACGCAAGCAAGCTGAGGGGTGTAAGATCGTAGGGAATCCTGTGGAGTCACTTTAATGAGAGAGATGCAGTAGAGACCATATTTTGGAAGTGGCAGCAGAGGCTTGAGACTGGACAGGGCAGCCTAAACAATGAGAGGCAGAACTGTTGGGAGAAGCAGGGAATCTGGCACTTCAAATCAAAAAGGACTGGAATGGAAAAGCATCACCTCAGGATGGCATCCAAGCGACAGGAGCCATACATCAGCCACATGGACTGACATGTCAGCATATTGTGTAAGGAAGAATACAAGCATTGGATGCTGAGCAAAAGCTGTTTATTGGGCATTTTCAAAACTGTTTTTTAAGAATATCTTTTACATTTTGAAATATATAGTACAAAAGGAAAATTACATTCAAGGAAATATTTTCATACATTTCATATGTATCAAGGAGAACTGACAGTCCATTTACATAATTTATATAGCCTTCTTATTTTAACATTTATACTAAACATATTATTCTAAACAGTGCCGTATTTTGGTTTTTGTTAACATTTTAGAATGTGAACTCTACTCATTTTACATAATACTCTTTGCAATGTTGGCTCTATGCCCCTTCCAATTATTCATGATAGTCTTTTTTTCAAATTCTCTAACTGATTTTCCGTTTACATAATTTGTGAGTTTTGCCATTGTGACATATTCAAGCATTTTATCTTTCCAATCTTCTTTTGTCAGTCATGTTTCCTTTTCCCACTTTGTTGCCATTACTGCCCTAGATGCTGTCAACATGTAACTGAAACGTTCTTGTGAAAATTTTCCCAAATTATATGGTATTATTCCCAAGAGCATGGGCTCTGGTTTCATGTCAAATTCAATTTTCAGAATCTTTTTGCATTTCAGAATGAATGTCTTTCCAGAATTTTTTTGTCTTTTTGCAAGTCCACCACATGGGGTAGTATAAGTCTTCAGCTTCTTGGCACTTCCAACAGAGACCCGAATAGCTTTTGTCCATTTTCTAAAATGTCTTTTGGGGTTATATACCATCGATAATACAATTTTTACCAGTTTTCTCTTAAGGTTTGACTTGCAGTTAATTTTATATTCTTTGTCCATAGGCCCTTCCATTGTTAGAAGGTTATTGGTTTCCCTAGATTCTGCATCCACTTAAACATACTGTTTAACTGTAACTCTCTTTCCATATTGCAGTTGGACTATGGTTTAGCAGTTGCCAGACATACAATTTCCTTCTTTATTCTACTTTATTTACCTTTGGCCCTCTCCCCTTCAGAGCTGATCCATTTAAAACAGAGGTAAGCAATCTCAGAAGAGCCAAGGGCCATTTTTCATATTGTAGGCAAAATATAGGAAGGCTCGTATTCCCAGTAGGAGGGGCTAAAAGATGAGGAGTGAAGCTATAGAGACTAATTTTTATTTTTTCATATTTTATTGTTTTTAAAGCTTTAAAAAAATGTTGTGGTTATGTACTTTAAAGGAAGCTGAAATGAGTATTTGTTAACTGAAAATATGTGTTTAAACAAAACAAGCTGTTTTTTTTTTAAACTAATTGTTTGGCACTTTTCAACCCTGCCTCCACTGGTGGGTACCCCCTCAGAGGCAGTGGGGCAGGGAAGTCACGGCACTGCCTGTAATGGGCGCCCACTGGTAAAGGTGAGGTTGGGATGCACGGAACACCTGTTCAGCTGCTAAACAAACCAGAACAAACTGCCAAGCCAGCAGTTCATGCCAATCTCTACTTAGGACTGACTGATAATTATCTGTTATAACTGTTACAAGAAGTCTGTCAAGCACAAACCAAATCTATACCAAGTCAAATGTTCAAGTACTTTTTGTTTATTCTTTGACATATTTTTAAGTAACCATGCTAAAAGTTGACTGTGACTGAATATTCTTTTATCTGCTGGGACATACGTGTGTATATATATATAAAGGGAAAAGATTATTCATGATCTGTGTGATTTTTTTTTCAATCCTCATGCTTAATCTGCTATGTGTAAACTCAAAAACATCAACAAAAAATAACAATTAAAGCAAAACAAATGATATTTTTTCTTTACCTTCACAAGTGAAACCATCAGGCTGAAGCTGGTAGCCCATAAAGCAAGAGCAGAGAACGCTAGATCCAGTGTCCCTACATTGCTGTGTGCAAGGACCACCTCCTAAGGAACCAAGAAGAGACAATGCTTGTTTTGAAAAGTTTGTCATTAAAAAGCCGAAAGATGAATGGCACCCATTTAATCTTTACCAGTACAGGATCTTCTGCTATTTTTTGGTGACATGAAGAAATGTTCTGATTTATTAATAGAAATTAGTGGTTCAAAACCCTAACAGAATATTCTGTGCTGTGAAGGTCACTTTTCTTTAAAGTAAATCAAGAAGCTAGAACGATTTCTTAGTTTACAACCAGGTATGGCAGACATTGCTTTATTATGCATATTGATCATGACACCTATCCTGTTAAGTCTCAAGCCCAGCCCAGCAATTGGCTGGGGTTTAGGTTACAAATCGTTTGGCTGCAGAGGGCAAAAAGTGCTAGCTATTTAATTTATTATTATTGCTCTTTTACTGCCACAGAGGAAAATGTTCTTACTGAGTTTCTTGCTCAGCTGCCAAAACAATCTGGCTGGTTTCTAATGGTCAATATAATAAGATGGAAGGATGAGATGCAGAACCCCAGAGAGCAACCTATCTTCAGGATGTACATAATGATAGTAATAGCAAAGCTAAACTACTGCAGAAGACTTGTAGATCGGGTAATGAAATGTGTCCCATACAGTCCACTTGATCCACAAAGGGAAGTTAAAAATGCAACCAATTTTACAGGCTGTCTGGCTAAAACCATAAGTTTTGCAGTCTTCACAACTAATTAATTATACAGAGTAGACAAATTTGTTGAGCGTGGCATACAGTATTATACACTGAGCTGGGAAGCCAAATCACACATTAGCCCAGGGGTGTCCAACCTTTCACCTTCCCTGGGCCACATCAGAAGATGAAAATTTGGTTTGGGCCGCACCTACATTTGGTTTGGGCCGCATGGGGGGGCAGCCCTAGCCGTCCTCCGCAGCCCCACTCCAAGCGCGCTTACCAGCAGCTGCGATCTCAGACAGCAGAGGCTGCCAGCTTCAACTCCAGTGGCTTTATAGGGCCGGGAGGGGGTCCACCTATTGACGGGGATGGCGCAATGCAGTCACGCAGCCCCCCTGTCCCCTCCCCTCCCACACCTTCCTTCCTTCCCTCTCTCCCCCTCTACTGTTGTGACATGCCCTGGCCACATTCCGGCCGCAAGTGCCAGCAGTGTAACTTGAAATTTTGGAATTTCTTTAAAAATAAAAAAAATGCACTGGGCCACATTACGAGCTGACCTGGGCCGCATGCGGCCCTCAGGCCACAGGTTAGACAAGCCTGCATTAGCCGAAACCTCACAAGTTGGCCATAGAGAAACTGCTGTTCCTGTCTCTTCCTCCTCTGACCCCAAGACGAGTTAGCTCACCTCTGCAACGATCATTCAGATAATGATCTTCATGGTCAACTTCTACTGGTGATACTGAATCTGAAGAAACAAAGCAGGCAATGAGAACAGAGGGAGAGGTGGCAAATGAAGTGACACTTTATCCCCTTACCTATACTGGACCTTCCTCTCTGTTTTAAATACTGTTTTAACCTTGTAGCTTTAATGGCTGTTTAAGGAAGGGAGATTACCACACAGAATCAGAGAGTGAAAAAGTCATTTTTGAGACTCCAGCAGCTACAATTCCCCAGGTAACTCTGGAATTTGTTATTCAAAAAGGGCTCCTTAAACCTTTATACACAAAGGATGGATGAATCTATCAGTTTTGCTTTTTCCACATCCTTTTAAAAAATAAACCTCAAAGGCTTTCCATCTTGTTTATCAATAAATTTATGGAGTTGGCATGCTTTTTATTTTAAAAAAAACACACCAAGTGAATTTATCATATGCATTGACTGAGTTCAGCAATTACCAACATGTTAATAGGTTCAGTACCAACATGGAGAGGATCATATTGTATCTATCTGCCACGGGAAGTGGCAAATCTAATTCAGGACAACAAACATGGCTGAATATAGAGAAATTCAAATCTAATTTTTAAGAGCTAAACAACTCAAAGTTCTTTGTCTGGAGAGACAGATGAATTTATTTATTTGTTTGTTTGTTTGTTTGTTTGTTTGTTTGTTTGTTTGTTTGTTTGTTTGTTTGTCTTGTATGCCAACAGCACTCTGCAAGAGTTTTACTAACAAATATTTCATGTTCAAATATTTTCATGTTGGAGTGTGTTCAGTCTTAAGTTCTTTTTTATCCCTTTTATGCTGAAATTTGTGAATTCTATTAAGTTTTTTTTCAAAACAACAACAACACCCTGAAATTTGTGAATTCTATTAAGTTTTTTTCAAAACAACAACAACGCCCAAGGGAAATGAAATGAAATGAAATTTGCCTCCCTCTCTACCATACAATGACATTTGAGCAGCATCCTCTAACAATTTTACGCTTAATCTGTGTCTTTGAATTAAGTTGTACAGTCCTGAGGTGAAATCTTGGACTGTAAGTTTTCATAAGGTAAACTGGATGATAATTTTTAATAGAGACATGAGAGAACTTTGCGCAAGCATAGCATGAATTTACAAGAATAATTATTCTACTGCAGTTTTCAACAAATTTTTTTTGGGGGGGAGAATTCTGACATTTCAGTAAAAGGATAAGTAATGAAGGCCAAGCTTCTGTGGAAGGCAGTAAGGTAGTCATCATAAATCTGTCACTGTTTTGTGCTACAGCAAAAGCAATGGTGAGGCACAAGCAATCTATTCAACCTCAAGTATGTATCCTAAGACACACCACTAAAATTCCTGGAATATGCACAGTTTATCTGAGCAGATGTTTGGAGGCTCCTCAGAGTACAAGGCATTGTGGAAAAGGAAAAGCCCTTGTTACTCAAAAGTAGAGCCCAGATGGTAGCAGAGGACCTGCAGGGAGACAGAATGGCTTTTCCGCACAGTAATTATCAATCTAGATGGGCGGCTCAGGGAGCAGAAAAATTAAAGCCAGCCTGTGCCTATGCAAAACAGTCTGTAAGTAAATTTGTAATGCCACCTCATAAAGTCTAAATAATCTGTTACAATTCTCCTTTGGCTCATTTCACAAAACAGCACGTGTGTTCCTTTGCCACTGAAAACTGTTGTTTGGAGGAACTCACCCAGTTCTTTGTGAGGACCGTCAACAATTAAGGTATCAGCACTTTCTTGCCCCTCAACACAGCAAGCCCTGAAGACCAAGCCACACTGGTATCCCATCAGCAGGCTCTGTTCACAGCTGTTCCCTTGCTTCTGAGCCACTCTCCCCATAAAGCAGCAGTTGCAGCATTTCTGCCAAAATGCAACCAACACATTCCTAATGAACTTTACAATATTGCAGCAGGTTTGTCACAAGTTGGTTCTCTCTCAACACGATGGTCTTGTGGAGTCATGAGAGTTATTTATCCCTCGAGAAGCCAGTTCTAATAATGACATCATACAAATACATTTCTTTAGTGAACACTATACGCGCTCTACGTGGGGCTGCCTTTGAGGCTGACACAGAAACTTCAGGTGGTGCAGAATGCGGCGGCCAGGCTCCTTACAGGAGTGAGGAAATACCAACACATCTCTCCAACGCTGGCTGCATTGCATTGGCTGCCCATCTGTTTCCGTGTCAACTTTAAAGTTTTAATGCTTACTTATAAGGCCCTAAACGGTTTAGGACCTCAATATTTGGCAGAATGCCTCCTCCCACCAAGGTCTACCCGGATCACCCGCGCGAGTCAGGAGGTGAGGCTGAGGAGCCTGACGCCGAGAGAGGCCCGGAAGGAGAAAACACTAAACCAGGCCTTCTCGGCGGTGACTCTTCAACTCTGGAACAATCTCCCTCCGGAGATTCACGCGACCCCCACGCTGGACATCTTTAAAACCCAACTAAAAACATGGCTGTTTATCCAGGCCTTCCCTCCAGCCAATTCTTGATTTCTCTCTTACTTTTCCTTCTTTATTTTTCTGCTGCTGTTGTTTAATTATTATGTATTTGCCTATGTTTTTATTATCTGATTTTATATTGGAAGCTGCCTAGAGTGGCCCGGTGGACCAGATAGGCGGGGTATCAATCAATCAATCAATCAATCAATCAATCAAATAAATAAATAAATAAATAAATAAATAAATAAATACATAGCATGGTCTCTGGCTCAGTCTAGTGGCCAGTTCTGGTAACTTCATCTTTAGAAACACATATGTTTCTAGGATTGTTCTTTTAGTATTTTTATTATTTTCAGGTTGTGCATAAGTGAATAATTGAATACTGATCCTGCATATACAGGGATTTTACTATATATGTTGGACCAGACTTAACAATACTTACTCACATAGCTATTGAAGCCCACAAAGTGAACAGGAGCACATGTATGCTGTCAAACTCAACCTGTCCATGTGGGGATGGTAGGTCTAAATGTGACTTACACATGCAACATCCAATATAGAGTACGTAGGCCAAAAAAGCACAGTCAATTCTTCAGCTAAAGCTTGGTAACAGACTTAGGTATGTTTGCCTTCAAAATAATACAGTGGTGCCTCGCTTAACGATTACCTCGTTAAACGACGAATCCACTTGATGATGAGGTTTTTGCGATCGCTTTTGTGATCGCAAAACGATATTTCAAAGGGCTTTTTTTGCTTCCCGACAATCAGTTCCCTGCTTTGGGAACCGATTCTTCGCATTATGACAATCAAAACAGCTGATCGTTGGGTTTCAAAATGGCCACCCACTGTGTAAAATGGCTCCCCGCTGTACTTTAGGATGGATTTTTCGCTGCACAGGGAGCAGAAAATGGCCACCCTATGGAGGATCTTCACTAGACGCTGAGTATTTAGCCCACTGGAACGCATTGAATCGGTTTTCAATGCATTTCAATAGGCTTTTTTATTTTGCTTGATGAGGATTTTGCTCTACAGCGATTTTGCTGGAATAGATTATCCTCGTCAAGCGAGGCACCACTGTAGTATATTCATATATGAATATGAATATATTGTACTGGTGAAAAAATATTCTCCCCCTAGTGGTAGAGGATGGATTAACTGGTTTTGCATTAGTTCCTATGGGAACGAATGCTTTGACTTACAAACTGTACCTTGACATAAGAACAAAAAACAGCCGGAACGGATTAATCGGGTTTCAGTGCATTCCTATGGGAAATGTTGCTTTGACTTACGAATGTTTTGACTTATGTACACCATTCCATTACGGATTAAGTTCGTAAATCAAGGCACCACTGTATATTTTTTAAAAAAAACAAAAACTGCAGAATGTTGTCAAAACTTAGACTGATTTCATGAGATACACTGGCCAGGCTGGTGAGCTTCAACTACATAAAGAAAGAGCGTGAGTTACACTCTAAGCCTACACCTTGTACAGAAAGATTAAGCAAGGTGTCCACCTTTCCCCATCTTCCAACTGAACAACCTCATAAATTTCCCAGGAAACCCAGAATTTTAGGAATACAATTGGAAAGCCACCAAGCTAAAGAAATTGATAGACTATAATTGTTCCCAAGAGGCAAAATTCTAAACAATTAAAGATGTTCAACCACTTTGACCAGCCCTTCTGAAGTCTCACCTTAATTATCTTGTCTTCACAGGTAGAATTACCCTTGTGGGAGTCACAATCTTCTTGCTTGCTGGCCATGGCTATTCCAGCTGTACAGTGTAGCTCCTCTAGTTGGTTGTGACAGCACTGTTCCTGGGCTATGCTGAAAGTACAGAGAATGGAGAGAAAAGAGTAGTACAAAGGGGGTGTTGCTGTGCTCACAGAGCAATATTTACCATCAAGGCCAAATATTGTCATTGTTGCATGAAAGTGCAGCAATATATATTGCGCAATAGAACAAATCAGCATTCCCTGATAATTCAAAAGATGGGGGGGCACCCAAAAGAAAAAAAAATTCAACTTTTAAATTGGACTTTGGATCAGCACTAAATTTGCGGTTATATAATACAGTCCACTCTTGATCTGTGCCAAATTTGGGGATGTTTGGGCAAACAGTTTTTAGTTAGGAGCTTTTTAAAATAAAACTGTTTTACACCCCCATGCAGACACTGGTGGCCTTTTATGTCTGCAAATTTTAAAAAGATAAAATACAATGAAAAGACCAAACTTGCTTATCTTGAAAGACAATGGTTAGTTCCAGGTGCTTTATTTATTTATTTATTTGGCTTCAGGGGCTCTAATACTGACTCTAATAAAAGCCCTTTCAAAGGAAAAGACACCTGAGAGTTTTTTTTAATAATAAAGTGGTTTTCTATACTACAGTTCTAAACAAACATTGTTATCAGCTTGAGAGCTAGGAACTTTTGACCCTGCCAGTCAGGACCAAATTAAATGACACTCAGGAGGAGAATTTTAAACTTGTTCCCGATGAAAGAAACTTTTAAAAGTGTTTCTATTTCTAGTTTAAAATATTTTTAAAAATATTTTTTGAAAACAGAGAGTAAAACTCACTCATTAGAGTGATGAACTAGAACTCTGGAGACCAAGGTTTGAATCCCCACTTGGCCATGGAAACTTACTGGGGCAGTGGAACTAGAAAAAAACATTCCTTAAATATCTCACTTACCTTGAAAGCCCTATTAGGGTTGCTGTAAGTCAATTCCAACTTGATGGACAAAACATGCAGACACCCTCATTTAAGATGTGAAATTACTGTTTTTTGCTTTGTGGCTGTATATGCTCTTACTTGATGGCTTTGGTACCTATTCCACCCATCTTGTCACTATATCATTGTTTGATAATTAAGGAAAAAAAATTCCAAAGATGTTATTGTCATGTAGTCACTTCTGACGTGTGGTGACTATTTGAGTTAATGACTTCCACAATGTCCTATCATTAACAGCTCGGCTCAGATCTTGCAAAACAAATCTCATATTAGGTTATTCTCTCTTCTTACTGCCCCCCTTTCCTAGCAACATTGTCTTTTTCATTAAGTTCTGCTCCAATCTTGCAAACTACCGTATTTGCCAGCATACAAGGCGACTGGCTGTATAAGACGACCCCCCAACATTTCCACTCAAAATATAGAGTGGACGGCTCTGCTGCAGCGCCAGCTGCCTGGGGCTCTGCCCGGGCCCGCCCTGGAAGTTCATGGCCAGCGGGGAGGAGGGGGAGGAAGAGGGGAAGAGGCTGCGTGGGCAGCGGCAGGAGGAAGAGGAGGAGGAAGAAGGGAAGCGGGCGGGTGGCGGGCGAGTGCACGCACAGCTGGCTCAGCAGCGAGAGGGGGAGGAAGAGGGGAAGAGGCTGCGTGGGCAGCGGCAGGAGGAAGAGGAGGAGGAAGAAGGGAAGCGGGCGGGTGGCGGGCGAGTGCACGCACAGCTGGCTCAGCAGCGAGAGGGTGAGGAAGAGGGGAAGAGGCTGCATGGGCGGTGGCAGGAGGAGGAGGAGGAAGAGGGGAAGCGGGCAGGTGGCAGGTGAGCGCACACACAGCTGGCTCAGCAGCGAGAGGGCAAGGAAGAGGGGAAGAGGCTGCGCGGGCGGCGGCAGAAGGAAGAGGAGGAGGAGGAGGGGAAGCGGGCAGGTGGTGGGCAAGTGAGCACAGAGCTGGCTCAGCGGCATGGGGTGGCGGGCAGCCCAGCGGCAGGCTCTGACCGCTCAGGCATGGCCGTCTCTGCTTCCCTCCCTCCATCCAGACCGACTGCCCGCCTGCCTTCCTCCCCGGCCAGCGCGGCCCCGCATCACTCACTCAGTGGCGGCGGCTGTCACGTTCCCGGGGATTAAAACAGCCGAAGTCTGATAAACCAGTCCAGGGTCAAGAATACCAAGAATGCAAAGCCAATGTCCATAAATCAACTCACAGAATGAAGTCCAGTGTCAAAGTCCAGAGTCCGATACACAGCGTAGTCCAGGGTCAAAGTCCAATACCGGCGTAGTCCAGCGGCAGCGTCCAGAGTTCAGAGTCAGAAACATGGTTCAAGAAGTGTGGATGCAAGCCAAGGTTTTGACTCTTTGCTTCCACAGAATTTCTGGCTTCACTGGGAGCTGCTTTATAGTAAAACAGCTCCTTGAGCTGCTGGAAAGCTTTCTATCCTGTTAATACTCAAGACTAGATGAACGTAGGTTTCTGTGGACAGCCTTTGAGCGATCCTCTGATCTTCTTGTCCTAAGTCTTTCCCAAAGCCTGGCCCGAAGCTTGTCTGCTGTGGAAGGAGAATCTGGAGGCGGTTCAGGTGTTTCTAATTTCTCAGCATTCTCTTCAGCCTCAGTTAACCCTTCTGGTTCCAGGTCTTCAGATGCACTCATGACAGCGGCGGCTCCTTCCTGGTCCAAATGAAGTGCACCCAGCGTACAAGACGACCCCCCCCCATTTGGAGGCATGTTTTTGGGCCAAAAAGTCATCTTGTATGCCGGCAAATACAGTAACAGCTCTGACGAGTAAACCCATCTCATGTTAGCTTTTCCTCTTTTCCTATTGCCCCACCCTACTTTTCCCAGCAATACAGTATATTCAGGTCACTTCTGTACGTATGTCCATTGTATATGCAAGGTAGGATAGGCTCAGTTGACTAATTTTTGCTCTACTGAATGTTCAGGCTTGACTTGATTCAGCACCCACTTGTCTGCTTTTCTGACTGTCTTTCATATCTATATGGCTCTCTTCCAACATCACACGTACAGATGAGTTGATTTTGTCTCTGTCTTTCTTCACTGTCTTTGTTTCACATATTATGGATGATTTTCACTCAGTTTCCAGTGGCATTCTTTGCTAACTCCAACCTCTTCTTTTTTTTTTTTTAAAGACAAAGGAACATCTTTTGGAAAACATGCACACAACACATCCATAGAGCTTTTGGTCCATGTAGCATTCACCCTTCTTATGTTAAGTAGACATGGCTTTTTGGGTTAGAAATGGTCCTGTGTCCTTCCAAAGATTAATGGACAAGACCTTACATGACCTGGGAGATTTTATTGTCGCCTACATGGACGACATTGGCATTTTTAGTCAAATGTGGGCTGAGCACAAGGAACATTTAAATCTAGTGCTGAAAAGAATCCAGGGAGCCGATTTGACAGTAAAAGCCAGTAAATGCCACATTAGAGATTCAGAATTGAAATACCTTGGACATTTAGTGGGTGGGGGAGTTATCAAACCCCTAGATTCTAAGGTTGAGGCTATTTCTAAATGGCCAAACCCCACTTCCAAGAAGCAAGTCAGATCTTTCTTAGGTCTGGTGGGCTATTATCGGAGGTTCATCCCACACTACAGTGCAGTCGCTGCGCCATTGTCAGACCTCACAAGGAAGAAGAAGCCAGAGAAAATCAGTTGGACCCCTGAGTGCCAGCAGTGTTTGACCTGCTGAAGGAGGCGTTAACAACTGGACCGGTTCTCATTGCACCTTATTACAGCCGAGAGTTCACCATCTTCACAGACATTGGACTGGGGGCGGTGCTTTGCCAAGCATATGGAGGAGGAACTTTATACCTGGTAACGTACATCAGTAAAAAACTGCAGCCGAGAGAGAAACATCTGGCAACAATTGAAAAAGAGTGCTTATCGATTGTATGGTCCTTACAGGAACTTAAACCGTACATCTGGGGACGGAAATTTACTTTACGTACTGACCATTTGCCATTGCTGTGGATGAGATCAATGAAAACTAACAGCAAACTGATGAGATGGGCTCTTTTGCTGCAAGACTTTGACTTTACTATAAAAAGTTTAAAGGGAGCTCACAACATTGTTGCACATGCGCTTTCAAGAAGACCAGGTGAATGATGCAAGAACTTATAAGAGAAACTGTAATGGACTACTAGTTAATTATTTTATGTAAAATAAATTTATGTAAAAGTTTCCTGATTGTGATTTCTGTAAGGTTGGTAATGTTAAATGTAAAAAAAAAAAGTGTCACTGATAAGGTAAGGTATATTATTGAATAGTAGTGAAATGTTTAGTGTATAAGGTATGGTAATTGTTATATCAAAAGTGGTATTGCTTATAGACTTGTGTTATATGGTAAGTAAAGTTTAATGCAAGTGTGCCTGTTTGTTTAGGAGGAAAAACATGTTTCCCCTCCCAAACAAACATATTTAAGAGGGGAGGTATGTAGCGTTCACCTTTATTATGTTAAGTAGTCATGCATATTCATGTTGCAGGCTAATGTTGCTGAGAGGCGGAGCCAAGAGTTATGTAAAAAAAGGCAGAGTCAGAGAGTAAGTCAGTCTGAGTCAAGAGAGAGAAGAGAGTGGAGAGGGAGACAGAGTGTGGTATTTAGGAGATCTGAGGTGTGATTAGTGTGAAGAGTAAATAAGAATTGTTATAACAAATAGAAGGTTGAGACTGATGATAAATAAACCTGTAGAAATCACCTATAATTAATTATCAAACATCTGTAATCAATAAATGAGTTTAATTTAAAAAACAGTGAAGTTTGGACCTTCATCTTCATCCTTCCATAAGTAATGTTGATTTGGTGATCAACTGGCGGCAGCGTGAAAAAATGAGTACATATTAGTTTGCCTTTGTTTGCTCTGTGTTTGGAGAGTCAGACAGGGGCCACGAGGGGTGAACGCCACAGTCCAATATAGCTTTTCTTCCTCATCTTGCCTAGCTCAAGGAAAAGGTTTGGAAATTGATACACAGTTTTCTGGTTAGCATTCTGCAGAGCAGGCATGACAACATTAGTATACCCAACTGATTAAAGGGTGTGTCTGTTTCTCCAGTGTAATGGTTGCATCTAAACAAGGATTTAATTCACCATTTCATTAAGTCTAAACTGGCCCTTCAAAATATTTTAACACAGAAGGACTACAGCCACATCCAAGCTATTCTTGCTTCTGTCTAATACCAGTAATCATAGTACAGATCATGTGCTCATTTTCTAGCACCAGGTAATTTTACATGAGGGACTTTTCTGCTGGAATTTGTTTGTTGTGTGTGTATATTTAAACTCCTGTTTTAAAAAGCCAAGATATTCAATTCTTCAAAATATCTCCAGCTTATAAATATAGGATACTGTGCTTCAAAAAGCCAGGAAAAGGCCCAGTATTGCTGCACAATATCATGCCCACGCTGTCTCAGGAAAAAGTTTTACATAGCAAAGGGCAGCCTCAATGTTGACAATGATATTTCAAAAGCATGCAGATATACCAATTCCTCGCCTCTCTGTCCTGGAACCCGAGTGTTCCTCAGTACAAAAAGCAGGCCTTTCTCTTGTTGTGTATCTTCAGAAGTCATAAATGATTTGTTGACCTCATCTTGATTAAGTTCCCAAACTCAGGATGAAAATCTGCCTTAGTTTTGCTAAGCCCTGTTCCAAAAAAGGGGTAATCAATTATGCCTTCTTGTCAGTTTACAAGTAGAGTTCATACTCAGTGTGTTGGTTTTTTTAAAAATACCCCTTGATGAAGGTTAAATATATTGTTAATACTAAAAATGTGAAGATATTTGAAGAGCAGTATATTTAAAGTTCCAGTTGCTCTTCTCCAGGATCTCAGAGAGCTGGGCTTAGAATAGGGTACTGAAAAGATTCTCCTCAGCCTGCGCTTGTGATCACTATCTTCTCTTTTCCCTACAGCCCCACTTATACCAAGACATCATGTGAGCTGCAAGGAAAAGTAGGCCAGGGCAGAAGGTCCACTGCCAAGGACTAAATAAGGGCCCTGAAAAGAACTGAAATCTGTGTCTCTTGCCAAGTCATTTAAGATGGAGTTTCACTGCTGTATCACCCTGTTTCTGAAAAACAAATCAATAATTCCAACATGATTTCCCTTTTCTCTGCTTCAGTCTTTATTTTATCATTTTTATTTATCTCGAAACAACTCATAATAAAGTAAGCTTTATCTGCCAAACACTATGTGTATGAGCCATATTTTTATGCCAATATAAATGAAAAAGAAAATCAGAAGGTAGTGACAGACATGACTGCAATACACATTCTTTCCATTCTTAAAAAGAAATCAAGCCAAGAGGGCTACAATTGCATATCTGAAAACAGAGGAAAAACAAGACAACATATCTGCTCCTACTACCACCACCACCCCAGAAAAGGTTCTCTTAAAAGTCCTGTGTTTGGTTAGTGTAGAAGGCCTTGGTTTTTCTGGTCAGGAATAGTAAGTAACATGTAAACTAGTTTCCAAATTTGTGCCTGAACTTTCCAAGGAAATACAGGAAACCAATAATAGGAATAAAGTTAGAATTCAGGTCATCAGAGCCAATGCCATCACAACAAGGACATTTTATCTGCTCCTATAGCAACAGGCAAGCAAATTACATTGAAGAATACCTGCATTCTTTGGAGTCAGGACTGAAAGGCAGAGAACTGCAATCTCTGTTTTGACTTGCCCATTCATATCCACGCGAGCAGCAACTCTCCACTGATGTTTCTGCAGAAAGAAAGGCAGTGTGTTTTAGCAAATGGTATTATGCGAATTGTGTTAAAACTAAATTCACTTTCCTCCTTTCCTATCCTCTCCTAAGCCCTCAGAATCTCCCAAGGAATTTGATAAGAGGAAATTTTACTGTCTTAAGAGAAAGCCATGCCAAATGAGGAACATGATATTATATAATGGCCTAAATCCTGTTGCTTAGTGTAGGACACTAGAATAGGCCCATTGACTCAATGGAGATTTAGTGAGTCACCTCCTCCATAAATATCATTGGTTTAAATAGGCCTATCCTAACTACTATGCTAAAGTAAGTCACAGTTGGAGTAGGCCCATTTGAATCAATGGAATTTATAAAGGAACTGACTCACCAAATCCCCACTGAGCCAATAGGCTTACTCTAATGCAGTTTACTGTGCTAAGCAACACGATTTGGGCCTATGCAAACTGAAGAAACACCTAGTTTACATACTTTCTCCCCTGTGTGTAAGTACTATATGCATACCAACATATGCATACCTGGCACTTAAATGGCACTACATGCATCTCATTAAATGAGCTCTAATCTGTAAATGTTTGTGTCACAATAAGGTAAAAACCTTATTAATACTGATGCAGAAGCAAACCTCACTGAAACTAGATGCTCCTTGTAAGTAAACATCTTAGGATCCTGCTGCATATCTGTTAATCTTTAAGATACCACAAGCTTCTGTGGGGCTTCTATAATGGAAGTGGTTTCATACACCGCATGGATGTTGAAGAACAGTAAGCGAAAGTGCAACATCATATCCCTCTCCCACCCAAAACAGGATTTCTGCATCCCTCCCATTGAAGCGATGTAAGATAACTGTACTGGGGTACAAAAGACATTCAAGCCCCATTCTGCATGGGATGTACATATGGGAGAAGGAGAGAAGTTGCCTGAAGCACGCAGAACATAATTACACAACCTGACACAACATTAATTAACTTATATTAATCTAAAAACAATAAAAACTGTATGTAACCCCTTCAAAAGATACAGAAGTATCTTCAGTAAAAGGAAAACACATGCCTGGAAATCAAGTACGGTAACTGAAACTTACAAAGAATGGAATCAAACACAGCTGACATAAATCATACATCAAAAGTGAAGATGACACCAGTTAAACTAGATAGTTGACAATCCTGTGCATAGTGACACTGGTTAAATAAATGAGATTTAAACAGCCTAACTGTTCTAACATTGCAGCCATAGTTGTCTGGACTTCATTTGTGGAGAATCGCCAGATCAAGAAAAATAAACATTCCTAATGAGCAATGGGATTATAATGCTTCATATTTCATGCACAAAAGTTCACTACTCAGCAGGAACATTAGAACTAATAAATTTGTCACTTGAATTGTCATTTAGGTCCAGCAATTTGACACATTCCTGGACATGCAAAAACAAAACAAAACAAAATGGAAATCCATTCTTCCTTGAACTCAGGTAAGTCCAAGTTAATAGAAACAAGAATTACATAGTACATATTCTTTATAGTTAGCTATCTTTGTCCTATGCAATGAACTATCAGTCCAAACACATGGGTTTTCATAGTAGTCTTTGTCTCCATTCAGTTTTCCAGTCATGTAGCCATCTCAGATGCAGTGGGGCCACAACATCTGCTGGTCATACACCTGACCATTCACATATTAAAGTGACAGTGATAGGTATCTGCTTTTACAGCCACACAATTAAACCAACATTACAACATACCTTAGCGCTTGTGATCCTTTTCTTTAGTCCCTTGCCACTGAATATGGCTAAAATGGTGCCGATGGAGCAAAGGGACATGAACAGGGTCTCTAGCTCCCCTACCCCACTCACTCCCCGGTATATAAAATATAGACAGCCACTGTCTTCCAGCACAGAACTAACCAGACAGGTGAATCAGCGATGCTACTAGCACTGGACCATGGGATCCAGGTCCCAGGTCCTGTGCTCTGTGGGGAAGGACGCAACTGAGCCACTGATGGGTAGTGGCAGCAAACCAGTGGCAGAAAGCCAGAAAGTGTTTAGCTGCAACCAGTTTGCTGGAGCTGAAGCCACATGTCACATAAGTGTAGCACTGCTTTTACTTCAAAGGAGGTTACTGGATGAGACACAATATAAGGAAGACAACTGATTTGATTTTCTTTTAGAATGGCAGTTGAATAGCTGGCTAGAAGCATTGCCTTGGCTAGAGAAAGGCTCAGTTGGGAGTATATCAACAACTATTAGACAGAAAATCATGTACCTAAATTTCATGTGATATGGGACATGTCAGCAATCATTATCAGAACTGCCTTTCTTCTTTTTCCCAGTTATAAGATAGTGAGCATCCCACTACATCCTACGTCAATGTTTCCTAGACAGTTGCGCAATACATCCAAGGTTGAAACTGATCAGATTACATCAATTTGTAATCTAGGCTGAAATAAAAAGTCTAGACATGAGAAACAACAGACTTTTTAATTTTGTTGCTATCGCTGAGAGACAATGACTTCACAGTCTTTTATCACATATTGTTGAATATATCCAATAAAACTTCCCAAACATCCTAAACATAAAGCCTAGGGGCCCTTTTCAGTCACAGAGAAGGTGGCAGGCAGGCAGTGGCAGCACTGTGGAAGAGAAAGGAGAGAGGAATGGTGGGATAGCAGGCTCCAGCAGCAGGAGCGTGAAGAGCTGGTACTCCACAGCCTGTCTGCTAGGCTGCTATTCTCTGTCTAGTAGGACAAGCTGGCTCTAATACACACTGGCCAGAATCCTAATGGCAATTTACACTTGCACAAGGAAAATTTATTTGTTTGTTTGTTTGTTTGTTTGTTTGTTTGTTTGTTTAATTTATTTAACTTATATGCTGCCCACACTACCCGAAGGTCTCTGGGCAGCTTACAGCATTTAAAATACAATAAAAAGGCAAAATAAAAGGGCAAAATAATTAAAATGCAATTAAAATATATATTCTAAAAATTGCCATCAGACCCACAGCTGATATTATTTCAGTTAAAAGCCTTCTGGAACAGGAAGGTTTTGACCTGGCGCCTTTAATTAAATTTTAAATTAAATTAAGTAAGTTTTAAGTTTACTTTAAATTAAGTAAGTCTTGGTGGCAAATTGGTGCTGATTAACACAACCAGGACCTTGTCTATGAGTAGCACTTTGCCATCAAGATTTTGCCACTTTGCCACACAATTACCCTTAATGCAAGAGCTAATCACCAGTAAGACACTGGACAATAAAATAAATATATAGTTCTCACCATCACCATTAAGCAGTGACTCTAAGTCAATGCACTCTGAATAGGTTTAGCCCAGAACTCAGGAAAGTTGTTATTTTAGATTACAGCTTCCAGGATCGACCAGTCAGAATAGAATCTGGTCACTATAAATTTTAAAAAAGTAATTTTTTCATGTCCTGGCTTAGTTTTCTGCCCATATCCCCAAGAGGGAACTAGGGATGCACAGAAACCATCCAACCCATTCTATGCCCAACTAAAGGGTGAACAGATTGGGACTGCCCCATTGTATTCTTTTGACCCAAACACTGTTTGGGTCTGCAACAGCTTGGGGGATGGCATTTCTGGTTCTCTCTGAGGATGTGCTTCCTGCGTAACAGCAAGGTCAAGTAATCAACTGAATGGTGCCAGCAGGACAGAAGACCTTCTGGTCAAGCCCGTAGCAGTTGCACATCCGAACACTGTTTAATTTTGCTTTTCCCAACCATTCGGAGAAAGTCTCCAGGAGATTTCTTAGGCAGTCAATAGGAAGTGTGTTAGTAAGGCATACTGCGCTGCCCGCAATCCAGCACAGTCCCTGCTGGAGCTGGCGGCTTTCATCTCCACTGTGCTGTTGAGGTCCCCCAGACTATTGGTTCTGGGGGAATTCAACATTCACACGAAGGCTGAGGTCTCCGGCTCAGCTCATGAGTTCTTGGAAATCATGACTTCCTTGGATTTAACCCAGCAAGTCAACGGTTCTAACCATATGCTGGATCTGATCTTTGCTGCTGAGCAGAGTGTGTGTGCTCCGATGGTGGCTGACTTGATATTGGCCCCCTTGTCATATTCAGTTCACCACCTAATTAAATGCAGCTTCTCAATGGCATTTCCTCTCCCGTGGGAAGCTTGGAGCCATTAAGATGGTCCGCCCCCACAGGTTACTGGATCCTGATGGATTCCAAGATATCATGTGGGGGATTCCGGGTGACTTTGTTGGCGCTCCTGTCAATGCCCTGGTGGATGGCTGGTATACAGTCGCCACCAGGGTGGTCAACATGATTGCACCTAAACACCCTCTCTGTTGCTGAGCCCGACCAGCTCCCTGGTTTAGCCAGCAGCTGTGGGCTATGAAGCGTAATAAGAGAAGGCTAGAGAGCATCTGGAGGACCCCGACAGAAACTAATTTAAAAACTGCCAGGATCACATCTAATCTTTACCTAGCTAGGGTAAAGGTTGCTAGAAGAGCATTCTTCACTGACTGAAGAAGCAAAGCTCACAACCGGCAGGCAGACCTTTTCCGTATAGTACGTGATCTATATGGTGTTGGCCACAGTGATAGGCCTCCCTCTAGTATTTCCTGTGACCAATTTGCGGCATTTTTTAAATGGAGGCCATCAACCAGGACCTTGATCCCTTTTTACAGACAGTAGATGGAGCTGAGATATCCAGTGCATCCTCTTGTCCGGTGATATTAACTTGCTTTCAACCTGTGATGTCCAATGAGGTGGACAGGGTGCTTGCGCATTGTCATGCCACCACCTCCTATTTAGATCCTTGTCCTGCTTGGCTCAGGAAGCAGCCAAGCTGGTAACAACAAAATGAGCCACTGCAATAATTAATGAGTCTCTCCAGGAGGGCATGGTTCCCCTTGCCCTCAAGGAGACATTAGGCCCATTCGAAAGAAACCTAATTTGGCAGCAGACAAAACTGGGAATTATAGGCCTGTTGCCAAAGTTTCTTTCATGAGTAAAGTGGTCGAGAGGGGGGTGGCCGATC